CTAGTGCCTGAATCCACATCCTCACTGGCAGCTGGGAGGACCCAATGAGATAACAGTGGACCAAAAGCATGAAGGATGTGGCTGTGACTCCACTGTAGAGACACAAGGGACCACCTAAGACCTGGCTGCCCAGAGTGAAGCTTGGCTGACATTTCCTGTTTCCTTTGGACACAAGTAGGCTAAGAGAACTCTTAAAGCATTCTGAGACTTTTTGTGTACCTGTCCTGGGGCTTGACCTCAGGGCCTGGGCACCATTTTGTACCTAATGCTTGACCATTTGAGCCACAGTTTAATCTCAGACTTTTCTGTCCAGGATGGCTTTGCACCACAATCCTCAGATCTCAGCCTCCTGAGTAGCGAGGATCACAGGGGTGAGTCCGGTTGATATCCTTTTATGGCAGTGAAGACTGCTACTGAGGCCACCTTGACCCCAGGTGACTGCGGTGGCTGTGGTGGGAATGGTTGGGATGGCATGCTGTGAGGGCACACAAGAGCCACAGCACGGAGGTGGGGTGCTCAGGGACAGGAGATTTCCCACTGACAGCTACAGAGCATCGGCAGAGGAGAATGCAACGGAGGCTAAGGTACAGACTCCCTCAGAAGCAGATCCTCATGGGTCTGCACTTCTTGTCCTCACGCAGGGCAAGCGAGAAGTGGAGAGACGGGGGGAGGCCCTGCTGAGGAACTGTGGTTCCCACAGAGAATGTCTGGGCACCAAATCAGGCCGCCCACTCCAGGAAGAAGGATGGGGTCAAGGGAGAGAATGGAGCTAGGCATCAGATCCAGCTGTGGCCACTCAGGCCCTGGCGCCACCTCGTGTTTAGTTCTGAGAAGACTGACAACCCTCTCTCAGTGACTCAGTGACTTTTTTTCTCCTGGTTGGCCATGGGGTGGAACTTAGCTTTTTACTGAAAGTTAGTGCTCTACCACTTGGAGCTACTTCCAGTTTTCTGGTGGTTAATTCGAGGTAAGTCTCATGGACTTTTCCGCTGGCGCTGGCTTTGAACCACAACCCTCAGATCTCAGCCTCCTAAGTAGCTAGGATTATAGGTGTAAGCCACCACACAGACCTTTCTGATACAGAGTTACTGTATACTTGGGGGCTGGGAAGGTGGCTCAGTGGTAGAGTGTTTACTTTGCATGCATGAGGCCCTGGGTTCAATTCCTCAGCACCATATAAGCAGAAAAAGCCAGAAGTGGCCCTGTGGCTCTAGTGGTAGAGCACTAGCCTTGAGCTGAAGAGCTGGGGGAAGAGTGCCCAGGCCCAGAGTTCAGGCCCCATGACTGACCAAAAAAAAAAAAAAAAAATTACTACTATTGGAGTGTGGCTCAAGTGGTAGAGTGCCTACCAAGCAAGCAAGTCAAGTAAGAGTCCAAGACCTGGTGTTCAAACTCCAGCACTGGCAAAAACAAATTTTGTGTCCCTGAGCTTTAAAGTTAGCGTTCTACCTCTAGAACCACAGTGCCACCCCTCGCCTTTTCTGAGTAGCTTAGTGGAGATGAAGAGTCTCAGACTTTCCTTCCTGGGCTGGTTTCAAAGGGCTATCCTCAGATCTCAGCCTCCAGTGTAGTAGCTAGCATTACCCTAAAGTATGCTGTACTTAGTAGAATGGAATGTATTGCTAGTAAAAACAGAAACTCATCTGGTTTTTTTGTTGGTCATGGGGCTGGAACTCTGGGCCTGGATGCTGTCCCTCAGCTCTTTGGCTCAAGGCTAGCGCTCTACCACTTGAGCCACAAAGCCACCATCTGCTTATGTGGTGCTGAGGAATTGAACCCAGGGTCTCATACATGCAAGGTAAGCACTCTACCACTGAGCCACTTTCCCAGCCCTGGCTTTATTTTTTGCTAGTCCTGGGGCTGAACTCAGGGCCAGGACACTGTCCCTAAGCTTCTTTTGCTCAAAGGCTAGCATTCTACTTGAGCCACAGGGCCACTCGAGGCCTTTTCTGTGTATGTGGTACTGAATAATCAAACTCAGGGCTTCTTGCATAGTAGGTAAGCACTCTACCACTAAGCTACATTCCCAGTCCTAGCATTTTTACTTTGTATATATAAACACAGTTGAATCCTCAAAAACTAAAACATTCAAATTCTCAAAAACAGCTGAGTAGTAGGGCACTGGTGGCTCACGCCTATAATCTAGCTACTCAGGAGGCTGAGATCTGAGGATTGAGATTCAAAGCCAGCCTGGACAGGAGTCCATGAGACTCTTATCCAATTAACCACCAGAAAACCAGAAGTGGCTGTAATCCTAGCTTCTCAGGAGGTTGAGATCTAAGGATTGTGGTTCAAAGCCGGCTCGGGCAGGAACTTCCAGGAGACTGTTATCTCCAATAAACCACTCAGAAAACCAGAAGTGCTAGAGTGGTAGAGCACTAGCCTTGAGCTGAAGGACAGTGCCCAGGCCAAGTTCAAGCCCCACGACCAACCAAAAAACAAAAGAGGCCAGAAATAAATACACACAACCCTCCTCTCTCATGCCACCAGTGGCTCACTCCTGTAATCCTAGCTGAGTAGGAGTCTGAGATCTGAGTATCACGGCTCAAAGCCAGTCCATGCAGGAAGTCTGTGAGACATCTCCAGTTAACTAACACAAATCCAGAAGTGGTGCTGTGATTCGAAACGGGGTAGAGGGCTAAGCCTTGAGCAAAAAGAGCTCAGGATCAGGGCCTAGGCCTTGAATTCAAACTCCAAGAATAGTGGGAGAAGGGCTGAGGGGAATTCTCAAAATCCAGAGGAAGTTTCCAACTTCACTCCCAGCACTTCTGAAGGCCAAGTAACTTGCCTGAGGCCACACAGTAGATGTAGAAAGAAATTCTGGTTTACCAGACTGTCTCCGGTTGGCCACTCTACCATTTGCTTGCACACCTGTCCCCAGTGGGCAAACACTACCAGGAGACAACAACCATCTCTTCTCATTGGCTTCATCTCACACTAGCAGCAGCTGGTTAAGTACCAAGACAATGACAAACAATTTAATCCATTTACTCACTCTTTTAGTGAATACCAGTGCCTCTGATAGGGACCAGTTGGGACCCAGCTGTGAATAAGCCCAAACTCCTGAGGCGCAAAGATTAACTGTAGGCAGTAGTAACTGCTGATTTGTGAGAACAAAGGAGATGGAATTAGGGAGGTGTCGGACAAATACCTCCCAAGGAGGGGGACAGAAGGCAAGGTTCAAAGGCTGACAGCTCAACCTCATCGGCCTTCAGGAAGACAGCCTGTCTGGAGCAGAGGGAAGAGAGATGATGTTATGAAAGCCTACCCTTCTAGCCCCACAGCCAGCATGGCTCAGCAGCCACTAGATTGTTGTTTTAGGAATTCAATAATTGAAGTCCAGGACTTTGGAGGATGAGTGTAAGGAACTTCATTACAAGTTTCTCTGCCAGGGCCTCTCTGATGCCGTGTCTGTTCTTTCCATTCCTCTCTTCCCTCCCATTGCTTGGCCTGGAAATATGATGCCTGAGCCATTCCACTTTTACCCTGGGGTTCACTGGTCCCACCACTGGGGTTTTGTGAAAAAACTACCCATAAGCCTGGACTGCACCTGGGTTGCTGACTCAGGCAACATCTAATGGAGAGCACTCTCAAAACAAAGGACTAATAGTACAGGGAAGGCCAGCAATGATAAAAGACAAACTAAGCCAAATTTCAAAGACCCCACTAGAGACCAAAGACAGCTAGTGAGCCAGGATAGGGGAGCCAGTGCTGTTTCCTGGAAACCCAAGGGTAACACGAATCCATGAATGATTCACCACAGGTACACCACCAAGCCATGACTACTTCACCTAAATGACTGAGAATTCATTGTCCAACATGGAAAAATGAAGGCTACTACTCTCTGCAATGACAAAAAGAGGAAGAATGGAGGCTTGTGAATAGCAGGGCTAAGAAATGGCTAGACAGATCAAACACTCCAGACATTGATGCCTTTTTTTTTTTTCCAGTCCTGGGGCTTGAACTCTGGGCTTGGGCGCTGTCCCTCAGCTCTTCAGCTCAAGGCTAGCACTCTACCACTTGAGCCAGAGCCCCATTTCCTGTTTTCTGGTGGTTTATTGAAGAGTCTTATGGACTTTCCTGCTTGGGATCTCAGCCTTCTTAGTAGCTAGGATTACAGGAATGAGCCACCAGTCCCCAGCTCCCTGAGCTGCTTTTGCTCAAGGCTCTTACTACTTGAGCCACAGCACCACTTCCAGCCTTTTCTGTGTATGTGGTTCTGAGGAATGGAACCCATGGCTTCAATGCATGCAAGGCAAGCACTCTACCACTAAGCCACACTCCCAGCTTTTTTTTTTTGCCAGTCCTGGGGCTTGAACTCAGGGTCTGGGCACTGTCCCTGAGCTTTTCTACCCCTCAAGCCACAGCACTACTTCTGGCCTTTTCTGTTTATGTGGTACTGAGGAACAGAACCCAGGGCTTCACACATGCTAGGTAAGCACTCTACCACAAAGCCACATTCCCAGTCCCAGCATCCCTTCCCACCCACCCTGTCCCCACATTTTTTTGTTGTTGTTAGTCTTGGGGCTTGAACTCTGGATCTGGGTACTGTCCCTGAGCTCTTCAGCTCAAAGCTAGAGCTCTACCACTTGAGCCACTTTCCGTTTTCTGGTGGTTAATTGGAGATAAGAGTTTCATGGCCTTTCCTACCTTGGCTTTGCTACAATCCTCAGCTCTCAGCCTCCTGAGTGGCCAAGATTATAGGCTTAAGCCACCAGTAGCAGGCCCCACATTTCTTCTTATATGTATCAAAACTCATACTGAAAACTGAGTTCTGGGTTTTAGGATTGTCTATGTACCTTTGCCCAAACAACAAACAAATGCTAAGCGTCACTAATTCTTAAATGCACAATGTTAAGCCAGGCCTGAGGAGGATGCCCCAATGTGCCAGGCTCCACTTGCCCCCAGTGTTCTGCTGCCATGTGTTCCCACTACCACCACATCTGCACTTTCTCTCTGAAGGAATCATCAGAGCAATGATTAAATAAGATGGTAAGCCTGTTTTATCACCTTTTATTTCCCCTGTACAACTCAACTTCCACTGAACCAAAAAGATAAATAAAAATATATAGACCCTCTAAGATTTCTAAGAAAGACAGTTTTCCTTAAGTACTGAAACAAGTAAAAGTGAGTGGCAAACAATTTTAAATTTAGAAATTTATTCTGTTTAATCCACAAGCTTTATATAGCTTTAGTTAAAAAAAAAAGACAAACAAAAACAAACAAAAAAGAAAAAACAGTGAAACCAAGACACTATTTCAAAGTTTGGGCCCTTCCAACTTTCCAAATACAAGAGTTCTGAAAAAAGTTGTATATACCAAATTGGAAGAACAAGACAAAAATATGAATGGAGCCATGACATCCATGAAACAAAATTTTATATAACTGAAGGATCCTTTCTGGGACTAGTTAATTGCCTTTACAAAAGAAAAAAAAATCAATCAGAACAGAATAGAATGAAATTCCAGTGTTCTGAATCAACTTGTTACACATCAATATAACCCCACAGTGTCCTGGCAAACAACATGCTCGCATTTGTCTTATTCTAGAGCTCAAATCTTGATTCTTTTCAGCAGAGACTCCACAGGCAACAGGAAAGGTTGTGGCATTGAAACACTCATTTATACTTTTGTGGTAGTTCAACAGTGGTCGTATCTCTGGGCAAGCTTTCAAACCATGTACGGTTGGAAGCATAACTTACATGGGTGTTAAGATCCAAGAAAAAGTAAAGGACTAAAAAGAAAGGAGGGAGACAAAAAAAAATACCCTCTGGAATAACCAGGGGCATTTAAAGGAACCAGAAGAATGCCAACAATATTTAAACCCCCTTTTTTGAAAAGGAGATTATTTTTTTTTTGGCTTAAAAATATTTCACTGTAAATGAATTATGTCAGCTCTCAATGTAAGAATGTCACGAATACACTGTGGACACCTTTGCAATGTAAATCCATGCCCTTTTTTTACATGGTGAACTTCAACCTAGCAATTATTACAACAAATGTTATAGTCTAAAGCTCAAACACATTTTAGCAATTTTGAAATTGAATTGAGTACAAACCAAATAAAATTTACATCATAACAAACATTTCCACCTAAGACTGTGGGGACACTTGAGCCTTGCGCATGGATCTCAGGGCCTTTTCCCGCAGGTGCTTTTCCAAGTCATCAAGGTTGTCTTCAGCTTCACTCTCTGTCTCCTGAAAAACCCAGAAGTGTTACTATATTGTTAGGTCCTGAGACACAGTGGGAGGTGTTAAGTGTATATATATATTGCTGGTCATGGGGCCTAACTCTGAGCCTGGGTGCTGTCCCTCAGCTCTTCAGCTCAAGGCAAGTGCTCTACCACTTGAGCCACAGAGCCACTTCCAGCTTTTTCTGCTTACATGGTGCTGAGGAATCAAACCCAGGACCTCATGCATGCAAGGCAAGCACTCTACCACTGAGCCACCTTCCAAGCCCCATGTGTTGAGTATATTAGAGAACAGAATCAAATTACAGTGAAGGCTGCACTGTAGTTCCTCTATAAAGAGGAACTGAGGTACAACCCAATGGCAGAGTGTATGGCAGCTATCAACCCTTAAGGCCCTGGGAGTTCTATCCCTGAACCTTTACCCAAAAAGGAGGGAGGGAGGGAGTATGTGTGTGCGTGCATGCACACACATAAATGCATGCACAATCCTTGGGCTTTAACTCTGAACCTGGCACTACCCCCCTGAACTTTTGTGCTCAAGATTAGCACTCTACTACTTGAGCCTGAGTTCCACCTCAGGCTTTTTTGCTAGTTCACTTCCTGCCTGGGCTGGTTTAGAACCTCTACCCAGCCTGGCGCACGTGCCTCACACCTGTAATCCTAGCTATTCAGGAGGCTGAGATCTGAGGATCACGGTTCAAAGCCAGCCTGGGCAGTAAAGTCCTTGAGACCACTAGAAAACCAAAAGTGGTGCTGTGGCTCAAGCAGTAGAGCACTTGCCTTGAGCTGAAGAACGCAGGGACAGTGCCGAAGCCCAGAGTTCAAGCCCCATTACTAACAACAACGAGAAAAAAATCCAACAACTCCATATCTCAGCCTTCTGAATAGCTAGGATTATACATATGGGCCATTGGCTCCTGGCTCAAAAATTTTTGTTTTTGTCAGTTGTGGGGCTGGAACTCTGGGCCTGGGTGCTGTCCCTCAGCTAAAGGCTAGCACTCTACCACTTGAACCACAGTGCCACTTCCAGTTTTCTGGTGGTTTATTGGAGATAAGAGTCTCACAGACTTTTCTCCCCCGGCTGGCTTTGAACCGTGATCCTCAGATCTTAGCCTCCTGAGTAGCTAGGATTACATGTGTGAGCCACCAGCGCCTGGCTCAAAAATTCTTTAACAAAATAAAACAAATAAATAAAAACTACAGGGCTGGTAAGGCAGAGTGTTGCCTCGCATGTATGAGGCCCTGGATTCAATTCCTCAGCACCACATAGATAGAAAAAGCTGGAAGCAGTGCTGTGGCTCAAGTGGTAGAGCGAGGGACAGCACACAGGCCCAGAGTTCAAGCCTCATGACCAAAGGGAAAAACCCAAAACCAAACCAAACCTACAGTAAGCCTTTAGGAAACTGTGGTACTAGCAAATGCTTATTGTGACAACTTACTGAGAAACGGATCAGAGGCTTATGGCTAATAAATGAGAGCACAGCAACTTGCTAGAAGTTAAGTGGAACGACATTTGATCCCAGATCCCACTACCTATAGAGCCTGGGCAGGAGGTGGGAGCCCACATTTACCTTCTTAGGCTCTGGCACTGCCTCAGGTTCTTCCTGTGCTGAAGTGGTAGTGGCTGCAACAACGGCTGCAGGGGCCATAGGAGCGGCAGCCGCTGTAGCCACAGCCTTTTCCTTCTTGTGCTTTTTGTGCTTCTTGTGTTTCTTATCCTTTTTGTGTTTCTTGTCCTTCTTTTTCTTCTTTTTCTTTCCACCTCCTTCTTGGTCTGAATTCTAAAATAACAGAAAAAATTCACAGTACTGTAACTAATCTGACCAAAAGTGCCTAAATATTTTAATTCTCACAACTAAGCAAAGACGTAATACCTCCCACAAAAATTCTAACAGGGGCTGGAAAGGCAGCTCAGTGGTAGAGCGCTTGCCTTGCATGCATGTGGCCCTGGGTTCAATTTCTCACCACCACATAAACAGAAAAAGCCAGAAGTGGCGCTGTGGCTCAAGTGATAGAGTGCTAGCCTTGAGCAGAAGAGTTCAGGGACAGCGCCCAGGCCCTGAGTTCAAGCCCTAGGACTTGTCTTAAAAAAAAAAAAAAATATATATATATATATATACACACACATATATATTTAATACATATATATATTTAATATAAAAATAACAGTAAGTGGAACCAAGTCTGGGACCATTTGTATAATTAATTTATGCAAAAGACAGGCTCTGCTGTCTTTTTCTGAATCTAACCTATACTCTTTTTTTTTGCCAATTCTAGAGCATGAACTCAGGACCTGGACTAGTCCCTAGCTTTCCTGACCAGGTTGGATTGAACTGTGATCTTCATTATTTCAGCATCCTGCCTCCTAAGTAGGCAGGATTACAGGTGTGAGCCACTGGCACCTGGCCACTTCCAGCTTTTTGCTGGCATAATCTATAATAGTAAAATTTCAAATTGCTAACCAAATAACTAGCAAAATTCAGTGAAACTCTAAGTACTGATTTTATTTATTTATTTATTTAGTTTTGGTTGGTCATGGGGCTTGAACTCTGGGCCTGAGCACTGTCCCTCAGCTCTTCAGCTCAAGCTAGCACTCTACCACTTGAGCCACAGTGCCACTTCCAGTTTTCTGGTGGTTTACTGGAGATCAGAGTCTCACGGATTTTCCTGCCCGGGCTTGCTTTGAACCTCGATCGTCAGATCTCAGCCTCCTGAGTAACTAGGATTACAGGCATGAGCAACCAGCGCCTGGCGCTAAGTACTGATTTTATACAATATAGAAATGTGTCCAAATTCTGAATTTTATGACTTACAATAGATGAAGACTAGTTGAGATCTAGGGTTTTGATCACTGATATTTTCTCCAATGCAAATTAACTATGCATAACCAGGGCATTGGTAGCTCACACAGTAATCCTAGCTACTTAGGAGGAGGCTGAGATATGAGAAATCCAATTCTAAGCCAGCCCTGGCAGAAAAAATCTGTGAGACTTTTCTTTCCAACTAAAGAGCAAAACCAGCGGAAGAGCTGTAGCTCAAGTGACTGCAGAGCGCTATCCCTGAGTGAAAATGCTAAGGCACAGTATCCCAGCCCTTGACCTCAAGCCTCAGTAAGCACAAAACAATCCAACAACAATAAAGCAAATCCAGTAACAACAAAGGAACCGCATACAATTTATAAAGGATTTCCCAAACTAGATAGACACATACTCTGGCCGGTGAGGGGCTTGGTGTTGGGCTTTTAGCCTTTTTGACTGGTACTGCTGGTGACCAGTTTGTAGAAGGTGATTGAGACTGGATAGGGGACGGAGGTGCCGGAGGCTTTTTAGCTGCTGGCTCAGGAGATCCAGAAACAGATCGGGAAGATGAGACCCTTCTTACAGACTGTGGGCTAGGTGAGGCAGCCCTGAAAGGGGAAGGGGGGGGGGGGGGGGCGCGAAGAGAACAAAAACAAAACAGTTAGAAAATTATCACAACATCCAAGAGGTCACAAACTTCATTTCTATCACTTAAGTCTCCTACAGGGTAGCTTAAACTCCACAATCCTCTATTGATTCTGTTAATGCGCTTCCTGTATGAAACCAGTAATTCCAGTTCCTCACATCTTATGCAAGAGTGCTTTTTATCACTTTTTTTTGTGTGTGTGTGTTGCTTGAACTCAGGGACCAGGTGTTGTTCCTGAGCCTCTTTGTATTCAAGGCTAACAGTCTACCATTTGAGCCACAGCACCACTTCCAGTTTTTGAGTGGTTAACTGGAGATAAGTCTCATAGGGACTTTTCTGCCCAGGCTGGCTTTGAACTGCAATCCTCAGATCGCAACCTTCTGAGCAGCTAGATTATAGGCGTGAGCCACAGGGTGCCCTTATCAATCTTGAATGCACACTGAGAAATACTCTCTGAATCACTTGTTTTGGAAGCATGGTTCTCAAAAACCCTACCCAAGAATCAAGTAAAATTCTATGGTATGAATGTCATAAGGAACTATCCTAAAAATGGAAAAGGTTTGTGAATGGGACTGATAATTTGCATTCAAAACTTATTCCTTTCTGTAACTAGGCAACTAAGTATTCCTAACTACAAAGTTAAAGTATTTTTACTTTTTTGGCTTTTTCGGTTCTGGAGTTCTGGAGACTCTCCTAATAGGCCTAGTACTTGGAGATGGGGACTGTCTTCTTTGGGGTGATGCAGAAGGTCCTCTTCGAACGGGGGGAGGACTTGAGGAGGTGTGGGGAGCTCGAGGCCGCGGTGAGGGCGAATGCCGTTTGTTTGGCTGTGGTGACCGGGCTTCCCGGGCAGGGCGGCTTGGAGAGGGCCCTTTCCTATGCTTTGAAGATAAAGAAGGTGACCGTCTCTTGGTGGCTGGGGGGCTTCTCTGTTTGGGAGGTGGAGAATGGGAGACCCGGCGCTTTGGTGGTGGAGACGGTGATGGCCTTCGTTTGGGAGGGGGTGGGGGAGAGGCCGTCCTTCTCTTGGGAGGTGGAGAAGGAGAGTATCGTCTCTGTATTGGAGGAGAGTATCTTCTTGGGGAAGGCGAGCGCCGACGTGGTGGTGGTGAAGGTGTCCTAGGAAAAGGACACATCATTAAGCTGGAAGGCCTACCAGAACAAATCACCAGTATCAACTATCTTACAGTTAGCGTTGTCCAAAGGGAATATATTTGGAGCAGATATGCTGTTTAATGGAAAAACCTGCGATTTTTAGAAGAATGCAAGTTTGTCAAAGACATGTAACACTATACAGTGAATCAATGTAATGTTTCATAGTTGCTTTCAATGTTGCTTAGTGCCAACTATGAACATTAGTTATTGTCAGGACAATTTAACTACATCACAGACAGGGCTCTATGGACAATTACCAACTCAAGAAGTCTTTGGTTTAAAGAGCTCTCTTTTTCTGTTCTTTCTTAATTGTTATGTGGACTGAACAATCGAGCATTTACTGCATTAACTTGAAACCACACCCCTATATTCTATCTCCCTCAAATTGACTATCGCGTCCTCTCTTCAAAAGTCCATTTCTCAGTGAAAGTACAATCTTGTAATCCTCTGAATGCGTAACTCCTACAAAATCCTAATGCGTTTCTTAGGAATTAAACCTGAATAAAACACTTAGGACCAACTTATAATGTGTCCTTGGTTCTTTTATTCTGAGTTTAAATTCCTAGTCAGAATTGGGTTTTATAAGCCATTTTTTTTTTTGGGGGGGGGGGAGAGACGGGGGCTCCTAAAGCCCAAGCTGGCTTTAAATTTGTGATTATCCCGCTTCATCCTTCCAAGTGCTGGGATTATAGGCATGTATCACACCTGGCTTACTTGACTGATGTGTATTCAAGGCTTCTCACATATGTGGACCCATACAATATATGGTCTTCTATGACTGGAGCAGCAATACTACTCTGAGTTCTATGATAAAGACCCAGAGCCAGATACTCCAAGATCCGACAGTACCTTCGACGTGGTGGTGGTGTGGGAGACCTGCGCCGCCGCGGAGGAGGGGCAGGAGAAGGAGAACGTCGCCTTCTGGTGGGTGGTGGGGAGGGACTTCTCCTTCGTCTACCACTAAACCAAAGAATTACAATTGTTTCTGGTCAGTGGTATTCATAATTAAATGCTCTAAATGACATACTTTCAGTTATTAACTCAAGTAGAAGCAATGGTTATATTACTTGTAACGTAATACATGTAATGATTACATGTTTTGAAGCAGTATTTTTCAAACTATAGTTCAAGATCCCAGGTAGAAGCCAACATTTAAAGTTAAAAAAAAAAAAAAAGGTTACGAAGTCGGGCACCTATAATCCTAGCTACTCAGGAGACTTGAGATCTAAGGATTGTGTTTCAAAGCCTGTCCAGGCAGAAAAGTCTATGAGAGAGACTCATCTCCAAGAAACTACTCGGAAAATACTTGAAAAGGCACTGTGGTTCAAGTGGTAAAGTACTAGCCTTGAGCACAAAGAGGCTCAGGGGTTAGTGCCCAGGCTCTGAGTTCAAGTCCCAGGACTGGCAAAAAAATTTAAATTGTTTACCTATGGCACAGGTAAACAATTGTTTTGTGAAAGCTGCCTCCAACATACGATCATATTTTTGGGTCATGATACAAAACATTCTTGACACATTAGTGTTTCAAAATATATGGCTTGGAATGTGGCTTAGTGACAGAGTGTTTGCCTAGCATGCATGAAGCCCTGGGTTTAATTCCTCAGTACCACATAAACAGAAAAAGCTGGAAGTGGTGCTATTGCTCAAGTGGTAGAGTTCTAGCCTTGAGCAAAAGTAGCTCAGGGACAGTGGCCAGGCCCTGAGTTGAAGCTCCAGGACTGGGGGGGGAAAAGTTTCAAATATGTCTCACAGCATTTTTTTAGTTGAGCCACACACCAGAATCACTATCATAAGAACAAGTGTCCAAGGTTGTCTGGGCATGAAAGCTACTCTGAGGGCAGTAAGGTAAAAATATATTTGCAATCACCTAAGTCTATTCTGAGCTCCATCAAATGCTTGACCAACAGACATTGGCCACCTAAGAATGAGAACCTGCCAGGAGACTAATAGTAGCCTTATACTAGATATATAACTGATGAAAAAAGATACTGAAACAATTGTAAATTTTTTTTCTATCTCTAAACTATAAACATTCAATGCCAATTTTTTTCTTTTTTTGTGGTCGGTCAGGGGCTTGAACTCTGGGCCTGGGCACTGTCTCTGAGCTCTTCAGCTCAAAGCTAGTGCTCTACAACTTGAGCCACAGTGCCACTTCTGGTTTTCTGGTGATTTAAATTGGAGATAAGAGTCTCATGGATTTTCCGGCCCAGGCTGGGGCTGGCTTTGAACCGCAATCATCAGAGCTCAGCCTCCTGAGTAGTTAGGATTACAGGTGTGAGCCACCAGTGCCTGACTCAATGCCAATTTCTTTCTTTTTTCTTTTGCCAGTTGTGGGGCCTGAACTCTGGGCCTGGGCACTGTCCCTCAGCTCTTCAGCTCAAGGCTAGTGCTCTACCACTTGAGCCACAGCACCACTTCCAGCTTTTTCTGCTTATGTCATGCAGAGGAATCGAACCCAGGGCCTCATGTATGCAAGGTAAGCACTCTACCACTGAGCCACCTTCCCAGCCCCTCAATGTCAATTTCTAACAGCATTAAGCTTGAGGTACAAATACAATGTATAGTACTTTGATTTTGGGGCCTGAACTCTAGCCTGGGCACTGTCCCTCAGCTCTTTAGCTCAAGGCTAGCACTCTACCACTTGAGCCACAGTGCCACTTGTTTTTTTCTGCTTATGTGGTGCTGAGGAATCGAACCCAGGACCTCATGCATGCAAGGCAAGCACTCTACCACGGAGCCACCTTCCCAGCCCTATATAGTACTTTTAAATGAGAACAAAAAACACAGTGCAGGTTTCGAAAGAAACTGGTTTTGACTTCATTATTGTGAGGAATCTTTCTAGAACAGATAGTTCTGTAACAGGGACAGAAATTGAAGAGGAAAGTATACTACTAACATAATTCTGAAGAAGTTTTAGTTCTTATGCTAGCAATATCACAGAAGGCAGAAATCATTATAGCTGAGAAAATCATGAATATATCTTTTTAGGTGTCTGTTTCTTATAATCAAAACCAATCTACATTGTATGGGCTGGGAAGGTAGCTCAGTGGTAGAGTGCATGCCTTGCAAGCATGAGGTCCTGGGTTCGATTCCTCAGCACCACATAAACAGAAAAAGCCAGAAGTGGCGCTGTGGCTCCAGTGGTAGAGCGCTAGCTTTGAGCTGAAGAGCTGAGGGACAGCGCTCAGGCCCAGAGTTCAGGCCCCATGACCGGCAAAAAAAAAAAACACAAAAAAAAACCAAAAAAATATAAATACTCCAATCAATCACCAACATTTTGGTTGGCTCTGAAAAGCCTTCCCTAAGAAAACACTTAGCAGAATACTGGTTAAGATGGACTATAGAATGTCTGACCAGGCTACTTTGTCATTCTGTGACCCTACAAAGTTCACTTTACCAAATTCTGATCAGACCTATTCACAGATATATATTTCCACATATGATTTGGCTCTAAATGGTTTTATGACCATATAGATCCTGATTATCAAAGTGTTCAAACCTGTAAAAGATGGAACAGAGGGCTGGGAAGGTGGCTCAGTGGTAGAGCGCTTGCCATGCATGCATGAGGCCCTGGGTTCGATTCCTCAGCACCACATAAGCAAAAAGAAAAAAGCCAGAAATGGCGCTGTGGCTCAAGTGGTAGAGAGCTAGCCTTGAGCTGAAGAGCTGAGGAACAGTGCCCAGGCCCAGAGTTCAGGCTCCACGACCGACCCTCTCCTCCCCCCAAAAAGATGGAACAGAGTCAAAACCTATTTGTTTCAGTATTTTAAATGTTATCCTTGTTTTTCTTGCTTTCTCTAAAAGTCACAACGAACTACCTCCCCACCTGACCCTAAGAGCTATAATTCTCATCTCATGACACACCTACACATTGTCCTAAGGTAAATTATTACAGACAAACTGTAATGAATACTCTAAAGTAAGTTTCACATACAATTCTCCCTACATTAATCTGACATGCTAAAAACAATTAGGGGTGAATTTGACCCAAGTACATTATGTGTATATAAGTATTATAATGAAGTCCCTTAGTATATATAATTTGTGCTAACAAAGATGAAGATGAAAAAAACAACAACAAAACCTCCCCCCCAATCTTAAAGTTTCTCCATAATCACAATCAGTATGTACACATTTTAAGAATGTGATATGGGCCACCCAAACAGGAAATGATATGACTTAACTTTTGATATATAGGCCTAAATTACAAAGCAGAGTCTAACCAACCTTTTAGTCACTGGCGATTGCCATCGCTTTCCCATCTGCATCCTGACAGCATCAGAGAAAAACAAATGTCAACAATTCCATTCACTAAATTATTTACTTTGATGGGAGTTTTATATCCCACTAAAGGAGATTTTTTTTTAAAGTTTTCAAAGATATTCAGGAGTTAAAGTTGTGAGTTAGCTGCTTTACTTTTATCATACACATATATGACATAGTGGCTCAATAGTGAGAACTCATTTAGTTCATACTAGATATTAAGAAAATACCAACCATGAAATCACACCCACACCCACACATATACACACCAAGCCAAATCCAACCACTTTTCCAGCCCTTGAGATAAAATTATGTAAATTCTAAAATATCTCCACAGCCCACCCTTAAGTCATGAAGTTTCATAACTACAGAACACCAATAAAGACTACTAAAGGTTGTTACCGAGGGGAAGTCTCTTTCTGATGCTTTCTTGGAGATGGAGAAGCACTCCGGGAAGGGGAATGTCTCCGCCGCCTGCCTACCTCACCATTCTTCACATGGGATCTCTTGGGTCGCTCATCTTCTGAGGAGGAGGAAGATCCAGAGTCTACACAAATAAATATATGGTTAAATAAATGGAACAGTAGATTGCTCATCTTCAAAGGAAGAGCCAGAGCTTAAATAAATAGTAAACAAAATAACAGCAGGCCTCTTAACCCAGATACTAGTGGCTTATAGGAGGCTGAGTTCAGAAGATCTCATGGCTCAAAGCCTACCTAGACAGAAAAGTCCACAATCTCCAATTAACCAGAAAAAAAGCAGAAGTAGAAGCATAGCTCAAGTGGTAGAGCACCTTTGTAGCAAATACAAGGCATAGAATGCCACCAAAAAAACCCTCTGGTGGGAAAGACTAGAGGGACTAATGAATCATACTATTCTAGTCTTCTGAACTGTTTATCTTCCCCAACTAGTGTTAGGAATTAGTAACTAGGCCATGCACATACTCTACCACTGAGCTAGACTGACTTTCTAGATACTTAAAACCCCAGCTTACTGATTTCCATAAAGACATAAATATTTCTCTTTAGTATAATCACTACTCAGATTTTTTTGCCTCTGTATTTTTTTTATTGTGAAAATATCATACAGAAGGGTTACAACTACATGAATAAGATAATGAGTACATTTCTTTCTTTCTTTTTTTTTTTTTGGTCTGGTCTTGGGGCCTGAACTCTGGGCCTGGGCACTGTCCCTCAGCTCTTCAGCTCAAGGCTAGCGCTCTACCACTTGAGCCATAGCGCCACTTCCGGCTTTTTTCTTTTTGCTTATGTGGTGCTGGGAATCGAACCCAGGGCCTCAGGCATGCAAGGCAAGCGCTGGACCCTGAGCCACCTTCCCAGCCCATGAGTACATTTCTTATCAAGCATTGTTGCCTCCTTCTTTGTTTCCCCTTATCATCCCTTCTCCCCCCACACCCCCGGCCCCCCCTCAGATATTTCTCAAGGTATTTCGGCTTATTTTGTTGAGACAGGATCTTTCTATACTATGCAGCACAGACTGGAATCAAATTCAAGATTTTCCTAACTCAGTCTCCTGTGTGCTGGGATTCCAGAGGGTCCATCATCATATGAGTGGCTAAGTACAGTACTTTTTACTTAGACATGCAAGCAGAAGACAATCAGTGTTCATACCAGATGAAGACTGCTGGTTCTGTCGTCTGTATTGACGCCGCTGCTGCACAGAATCAGCTGCAGTCATCTTGCCACCTTTATCTTCTTCTGAAAGATGGATGCATTTAGAAATTGTTTCTTTAGTTATGCATTATAGGTAGTTTGAGATGTATGAATAGGAAAAGCTTTTTTTTTTTTGGTACCAATTCTGGGATTTGAAGCCTGGGTTCTGTCCCTGAGCTTTTGTGCTCAATGTTATTACTTTACCACTTGAGCTATACCTCCATGCCCAGATTTTTGGTGGTTAACTGGAGGTAAGAGTCTCAGACTTTTCTGAACCATGATCCTCTCAAATCTCAGCCTACTGAATAGCTAGGATTACAGGTAAAAAAGTCTCTTAAACCTTTATCTGTTTGGGTCAAGTGATATAATTTATTCAATGTACCCAAAACAAACTTTTAAGCCAGGCATTGATCTCAGAATCATGGACTAAAGCTAGTATAGACACACAAATTGAAACTGTGACTTTTATCTCCAATTAACCAGCAAAATGCAAGAAGTAGAAGTGTGGCTCAAGTAGTAGAGCGGCACCCTTGGAACAAAAAGGCCAAGTATACAAGGCTCAAGCCCCAGTACCACCACCAAAAATAACCAACCAACCAATCAAATAAACCTCAATGACCACAACAAAGAAACCACCAAAAAAATACCACAAACAAAAAGCCTAGTGAAAATTCCCTTTCTGAAGTAGTAGATAGTACTACTTTTTTTTTTTACTACTTTTTTTTTTTTTGTGCCAGTCCTGGGGCTTGAACTCTGAGCCTGGGCACTGTCCTTGAGCTTTTTTTGCTCAAGGCTAGCACTCTACCATTTGAGCCATAGCACCACTTCTGGCCTTTTCTGTTTACATGGTACTGATGAATGGAACTCTGGGCTTGTTTCATGCGAGGCAAGCACTCTATCACTAAGCCACCTTCCCAGCCCAGTACTTATTTCTTCCAATTAAAAACTTACCTGATTCAGATAACTCTACTTTTCTAGGCTTTGGTGCTGGTGAAGGCGACTCTCTTTTTTCAGTACCTTTATGTTTTGTCACTAAAAAAGAGAAAAAGTTGCTTAGACACAATAAAAAGGATCATACAAGTAAGATAGCTCAGTGGTAGAGTGCTTGCCTTGCATGTGTGAGGCCCTGTGCTCCATTCCTCAGCACCATATAAGCTGGAAGTGGCGCTGTGGCTCAAATGGTACAGCACTTGCCTAGAGCTGAGGAGCTGAGGGACAGTGCCCAGGCCCAGAGTTATTTCCCTTATCAGTTCAAATAAAGAAATGGCCAGGTACCCTTGGCTCATGCCTGTAATCCAAGTTACTCAGGAGGCTAAGATCTGAGGATTATGGTTTGAGGCCAGGCTATGCAAGTAAATCAGTGAGACTCATGTCCAATAAACCAAAAAAGAAAAAAAAAAGCCAGAAGTGGAGCTGTAGCTTAAGTGGCAGAGCACTAGCCTTGAGCAAAAAAGCTTAGGCCCCGAGTTCAAACCCCAAGACCAGCGCATGCATGCTCACACACAGAACAATAAAAGCTGGAGCTGGTAGCTAATGCCTCTAGCTATTCAGCAGGCTGAGATCTTAAGAAGGCAGTTCAAAGCCAGCTTGGGCAAGAAAGACACTGAAACTGGGGTTGGGAAGGTGGCTCAGTGGTAGAGTGCTTACTCTGCATGAGGCCCTGGGTTTGATTCCTCAGCACCACATAAACAGAAAAAGCTGGAAGTGGTGCTGTGGTTCAAGTGGTAGAGCACTAGCCTTGAGCTGAAGAGCTAAGGGACAGCATGTAGGTCCAGGGTTCAGGCCCCAAGGCTAACTTAAAAAAAGAAAGAAAGGGGCTGGGAAGGAGGCTCAGTGGTAGAGCGCTTGCCTTGCATGCCTGAGGCCCTGGGTTTGATTCCTCAGCACCACATAAGCAAAAAGAAAAAAGCCGGAAGTGGTGCTGTGGCTCAAGTGGTAGAGCGCTAGCCTTGAGCTGAGGGACGGCGTCCAGGCCCAGAGTTCAGACCCCACGACCGGACCAAAACAACAACAACAACAAAAAAAAACAGTGAAACTCTTATCTTCAATTAACCCCACCCCTCCCCCCCATAAAAATAAGTCCATAAGTCCAAAGTGGATCTGTGGCCCAAGTGGTAAAGTGCTAGCTTTAAGAAAATAAAGCTGAGGGACAGCACCTAGGCCCTGAGTTCAAGCCTCACAGTACTGCACCCCTCCACCACCACACTCCCCAAATAAAAGCAATTAAGGGGACAAATGACTAAGAAACAAGAAGAGTGAGACTAGGAATGTAGTCAGGGACAGAGCATCTGCCTAGTATAATAGAACACAGAGAATTCTGTACCTCTGACTCCTAACTACAAGGATACAAAAAAGACTAGCGATACATTTACAGGAAAAGACATATAGGTCAGGAAATGATTGGCTACCAAAAAAGCTACCAAAGCAGCCAAGGGTTCTTTATGTATTATGAAATCTTTGTAATAGCTTCAGAGATTTTAGGGGGGGAAAAAGGTAGACTGTAACAATTATAAAATGTATCAAATATAGTTGGATGTGGAAGTGTGCATCTGGATTATCAGCTACTCAGGAAGTGAAGTGAAGCAGGAAGAAAAGTTGGTTTAACTCCAGCCAAAGCAAAATAGCAGTAAGACACTGTCTCCAAAATAAAGCCAGGTGCTGGTGGTCATACCTGTAAGCTCTGCTACTCAGGAGGCTGAGATCTGAGAATTTCAATTCAAAGCCAGGCAGGAAGGTCTGTAAGACTCTGATCTCCAGTTTACTAAAAACTGGAAATGGAGCTATGGCTCAAGTGGTAGAGTGCCAGCTTTGAGAACAAAAGCTGAAGACAGTGCTCAGGCCGTGAGTTCAAACCCCAGGTATAGCACCAAAAAGAAAAAGTGATTTAAAAAAATCCCCCAAATCGCAAAGATCAGCTTTCTACCTAATGGAGTAAATAAAGCATGAAGCAACTAATGCTCTTTTCCCACCTGAATGGAGCACTATGGCGACTATCTTTTTTTTTGTCGGTCATGGGGCTTGAACTCAGGACTTTGGCGCTATCCCTTAGCTCTTCAGCTCAAGGCAAGCGCTCTACTGCTTGAGCCACAGCACCACTTCTGGTTTTCTAGTGGTTTACTGGAGATAAGAGTCTGTTCACAGACTTTACTGCCCGGGCTGGCACTGAACCGTGATCCTCAAAACTCAGCCTCCTGAGTAGCAAGGATTACAGGTGTGAGCCACTGGCACCTGGCTTTATGGCAACTATCTTTTGTGAATTTGCTGCACTACACAAATGGAATGCTACCAAGTGTGACTGTGGGACTGTGTTTATTTGGACAGGTAAGCTCTGTCTCAGAACCAACAAGGAATTCAACTCATCTCTACTCTTCCACCATTACTTCTCTGCTATGCACATCTCCACTGTGTACTATCTACTAAAAGTGTAAGACAAAATATTAAAGGTGTGCCTGGGAAGGTGGCTCAGTGGTAGAGTACGCACCTCACAGGCATGAGCCACAGGAACCTAGCTAATAATTTACAGTTTTCACACCATTAAAGTGTCACTACAGGTCTGGGAAAGTGGATCAGTGTTCGAGCGCTTGCCTTGCATGCATGGAGCCCTGGATTCCATTTCTCAGCACCACACAAGCAGAAAAAGCCGGAAGTGGCACTGTGGTTCAAGTGGTAGTGCTAGCCTTGAGCTGAAGAGCTAAGGGACAGTGCCCAGGCCCAGAGTTCAGGTCCCACAACCAACCACAACAACAAGGTGTTTTATTATATAATACTTTTTATGTCCATTGTGGGGCCTGAACTCTGGGCCTGGGTGCTTTCCCTAAGCTCTTTAACTCAAGGGGAATGTTCAACCACTTGAACCACAGTGCCACTTCTGGTTTTCTGGTGGCTTATTGGAGATAAAGAGTCTCACGGGGCTGGGAAGGTGGCTCAGTGGTAGAGTGCTTGCCTTGCCTGTATGAGGTCTTGGGTTTGATTCCTCAGCACCACATAAGCAGAAAAAGCTGGAAGTGGCACTGTGGCTCAAGTGGTAGAGCACTAGCCTTGAGCTGAAGAGCTGAGGGACAGCGCCCAGGCCCAGAGTTCAGGCCCCAGGACCAGCCAAAAAAAAAAAGAAAAAAGTCTCATGGACTTTCCTGCTTGGGCTGTCTTTGAACTGTGATCCTTAGATCTCAGCCTCCTGAGTAGCTAGGATTATAGGTGTGAGCCACAGGCACCCAGCTTTTATTACACTCTTAAAAAAGCGAAGCCAGGTGCCAATGGCTCATGCCTGTAAACCTAGCTACTTTGGAGGTGGAAATCTGAGGACTGAGATTCAAAGCTAGTCTGGGCAGGAAAAGTCTGTCAAACTTTTAACTAACCACCAATAAGGAGGAAGTGGAGGTATGACTCAAGTGGTAGAATGCAAGCTCTGAATGAAAAAGTTCACAGACAGCACTCAGGGTCTGAGTTCAATCTCCTGTACTGGTGCATGCGCATGCACACATATGTGCATACACACAGAGCAAAGTAAAATTTGTTTTTCCAGAAGTTGAGTGTGTGTTGGGAAAACATTGGGAGTAGAGTGGCCAAATAGAAATTGCAATCTCATGAAGCTCATTAAAATATACAAGGACAAATTTTCTCATTTCTATTGTTTCTAACATGAAATTTTCAATGGGACAACTTCAGCATATGGTTACAGGTCACTACTTAAAACTCAACTGCTATAGCAGTTTTTTCAGTTCTCCTCCATATCCCATGACTTACTTTCAAGGCTGTATCACTCTAGCTTTAAACATCAAGACATTATGTAAATGGAGCCTTCAGGATTCTAGTTTTCTTTCATGTGTACTTAGGACTAAAAGAACAAACCCCAATAGATTACAAACAACCTTCACTCAAACGAACACAGCATTCTTCTTGCACAGTAAGACTACAGATCATAAAAGTCTTAGAAATCAAATGTGGAGAATAAAGGACAAAACTCAGAAGAACCCGCCCTAGAGCCTCAAGTAAAAAAATTAAAATAAATAAATAAATAAATAAACCAGGTTTAAAGATAACACTATGTCTCCGGGCGCTGGTGGCTCATGCCTGTAATCCTAGCTACTCAGGAGGCTGAGATCTGAGGATCGCGGTTCAAAGCCAGCCTGGGCAGGAAACTCCGTGAGTCTCTTATCTCCAACAAACCACTAGAAAACCAGAAGTGGTGCTGTGGCTCAAGCGGTAGAGTGCTTGCCTTGAGCTGAAGAGCTGAGGGACAGCGCCCAAGCCCAGAGTTCAAGCCCCACGACCAACGGGAAAAAAAAAAAAAAAGTTAAAAAAAAAAAGATAACACTATGTCCTTCCTTTAGGAGAACAATGTGGCCAAAAAGGTATACAGTCTTTAATAACATATCAAGTAAGTATTCTTGAGAGAAAGTGGTTTCAGAGTAACAGAGTGAACCATTACTATGAGGATGTATTTCTCTACCTGACCAATGCCAGTGAGTTCCCTAAACAGTTTTGTTTTTTTTAAGTCAGTCATGGGGCCTGAACTCTGCCTGGGCTCTGTCCCTCAGCTCTTCAGCTCAAGGCTAGCACTCTACCACTTGAGCCACGGCACCACTTCTGGCCATTTCTGCTTATGTGGTGCTGAGGAATGGAACCCAGGGTCTTCTATATGCAAGGCAAGCACTCTACCACTGAGCCACCTTCCCAGCCCCCAACTAGTACAGCTAGTACATTGCTCTACAAGAAATTCAAAAGGAAAAGTAAATTTAGAAGTACATTCACAAACTATTTTTTTGCTTCATTTTCCCCAGTCCTGGGGCTTGAATTCTGAGGCTTGGCATTGTCCGAGCTTTTTTTCACTCAAGGCTAGCACTCTACCACTTGAGCCACAGCACTAGTTCAGGCTTTTTTTGTTTATGTGGTACTGAGAAATCAAACACAGGGATTCACACATGCTAGGTGAACACCATACCACATTCCCAGCCCACAATTTTGTATAGAAGCCACTTCATACTTTTGAAGGGGGCAACAAGAGATTAGATGTATCGTAGCAAAAGAGAGAACAAATATTTTTGTTTGATTTTTACCTTTACCTGAAGTTCTCCCTGGAGACACAGAAACACGACTTTTTCTTGTACGGTTTGACTGCTGGGGTGTTGGGGAATGACGAGTTTTTGGTGGTGGAGATGCTGGGGGTGATGGCCTGTGCCTTCGCCTTGGAGGACTTGCAGAAGGAGATAACCTGCGAGTTTTTCGAGGAGGGCTAGATGTTCTCTTGGGAGGCTTCTTTGGTGGTGACCGGGAACGAGATGATGAGGATGATGAGCTACTCCCAGACAAGGATGCTGATGAACGCCTCCTTCTGTTGAATAAACATTCTCACTAAGAGATACCTTAAAGTATGTATAGTTTACAGTTGCTTTTACCCAGCTTGAGTTTATGACACTAAGTCCATAAACTAGTCAAAAAGAGACAGAGGAACAGAGAAAAAAAATGCATAACCCAGGACAGGAAATATCTAGCATTGAGACTAAATTAAAAAAAATTTTTTTTGGCTGGTCATGGGGCTTGACCCCTGAGCCTGAACACGGTCCCTCAGCTCTTCAGCTCAAGGCAAATGCTCTACCACTTGAGCTATAGCGAACGCCACTTCCAGTTTTCTGGTGGTTTATTGGCAATAGGACTCTCAGTCTTTCCTGCCCAGGCTGGCTTTGAACTGCGATCCTCAGATCTCAGCCTCCTGAGTAGCTAGGATTACAGGCATGAGCTACCAGCGCCTGGTGAGACTAAATAATTTTTTTTTTTATTCTAATAAATGCTTCTGAGTTGTGTCACATCAAATTGAGTGCTATAATTCAGTAACTAATCACTTTCTCTTCCATAGGAATGATACCAGTGTTTTAGTTTGTATATAAAATGTGCAGAGCAATGTACTTTTCATTCAGTAAACTATAAAACAACTTTTTTTTTTCCCCGTCAGTTGTGGGGCTTGAACTCAGGGCCTAGGTGCTGTCCCCAGCTTTTTCATTCAAGACTAATGTTCTGGGGCTGGGAATGTGGCTTAGTGGTAAAGTGCTTGCCTAGCATGCATGAAGCTCTGGGTTTGATTGCTCAGCATCACATAAACAGAAAAAGCCGTAAATGGTACTATGGCTCAAATGATAGAGTAAATGGTACTATGGCTCCAATGGTAGAGCGATAGCCTTGAGGAAAAGCAGCTCAGGGAAGCCAGCTGCCAGTGGCTCATGCCTGTAATCCTAGCTACTCAGGAGGCTGAGATCTGAGGATTGTGGTTCAAAGTCAGCCCTGCAGGAAAGTCCCTGAGAATTGTATTTCCAATAAACCACCAGAAAACCGAAGTGGGGCTGTGGCTCAAGAGGTACAATACTGGCCTTGAGCTGAAGAGCTCAGGGACAGGCCCAGGCCCAGAGTTCAAGCTCCACAATTAACAGGGAAAGAAAAAAAAAAAAAAAAAGCAGCTCAGGGACAGTGCCCAGGCCCTGAGTTTGAGCCCAGGACTGGCAAAAACAAACAAACAAACAAACAAACAAAAAACCTCACAAACTAGTGTTCTGCCAACTTAAGTCACAGCTCTACTTTGAGCTTTCTGGTGGTTAACAGGCTACAAGAGTCTCATAGACTTCCTCCCCAGGCTGGCTTCGAATTGTGATCCTCAGATTTCAGCCTGAGTAGCCAGGATTACAAATGTGAGCCCCAGCACCCAGATTAATACTGTAATTTTTAATACAGTAATTGCTGAAGGTATCTTGACAACCTTCCCCTACAAAGAAATACTTTTATTAATCTTTTTTTTTGGGGGGGGGGGGGGGGGGGGGAGAAGGGGTCTAGTCGTGGGGCCTGAACTCTGGGCCTGGGCACTGTCTCTCAGCTCTTCAGCTCAAGACTAGCACTCTACCACTTGAGCCATAGCGCCGCTTCCGGCTTTTTTCATTTTTTCCTTTCTTTCTTTTTTTTGTCGGTTGTGGGACTTGAACTCTGGGCCTGGGCGCTGTCCCTCCCTCAGCTCTTCAGCTCAAGGCGAGCGCTCTACCACTTGAGCTACAGTGCCACTTCCGTTTTCTGGTGGTTTATTAGAGATAGGAGTCTCACGGTCTTTCCTGCCCAGGCTGGCTTTGAACCGTGATCCTCAGATCTCAGCATCCTGAGTAGCTAGGATTACAGAAGTGAGCCACCAGCGCCCGGCTCCAGCTTTTTTCTTTTTGCTTATATGGTGCTGAGGAATCAAACCCAGGGCCTCAGGCATGCAAGGCAAGTGCTCTACCACTGAGCCACTTTCCTAGCCCTACTTTTATTAATCTTGACCATAAAAGTAAAATTTATAAATGTTATTTCATGTTTCCCTGCTCTCCCCCCCACACTCCGGGCTTAAACATTGTCCCTGCTCAAGGCTAGCACTCTACCACTTGAGCCAAAGTGCTACTTCCACTTTTTCTGAGTAGTTTGTTGATGATAAGAGCCTCACAGACTGTCTTACCTGGGCTGACTTGGAAACGCTATCTTTAGATCTTAGCATCCTGAGTAGCTAGGATTACAGGTATGAGCTACCTACACCAGGCTCCTCTATTTTTAAGTCGATTTGATTTCTTGGGGGAAAATGAAATAAACACACACACACACTTTTTTGTGTGTGCCAGTCTTGGGGCTCAGGGCCTGGGCACTGTCACTCAGCTCTTCAGCTCAAGGCTAGTACCCTACCACTTGAGCTACAGCACCACTTCTGGCTTTTTCTGCTTATGTGGTGCTGAGGAATCGAACCCAGGGCCTCATTTATGCAAGGCAAGCACTCTACCACTGGGATACCCTCCTAGCCCATGAACTAATTTTTCAGACTGGAACACAAAGATATTGTCAGAGCAAGGGTCTATCTCAGTGGCAGACTATTTTAGGGCCCTGGGCTCAATTCCCAAGGAAAAGAAAGGGCAAGGAAAGATGGCAGGAAACATAGGAAGAAACATGGGAGAAAAGAAAGTAAAGGAAGGAAGAGAGGAAAGGAGGAAGTTTTGTCCAATGTATAATGTAAAAAGTTTAATCATCAAAGTTCCTTCATACATTGTTAAGATGGCAAGGAAAAATATGCTATCAGTGAAGCAAGCCTCTTACTTTGTAGGAGAGTTGGTTATAATCTTTATGCTACAGTGATATATCCAAAATTCCAAAATTTTACCTTATGCTCAACTTAAATATTTTTATAGCAATGTTTAAAAAGAACTATCGGTAGGGCTAGAGTTTTGCTGAATCTTAGGCCTATAATCAATCTTGGCTATTCAGGAGGCTAAGATCTGAGGATACAAGTTAAGAGCCAGCCAGACAAATCTGAAAGACTATCTCCCATTAACCAACAAAAAGCCAGAAGTTAAGATGTGACTTATGTGGTAGAGTGACAGCTGTAAGCAAAAAAGTCAAATGAGGGTTCTAGGCCCTAAGAGTTCAAGCCCCAGTACTGGCACACAAACAAAACATAAGGTATACTAATAACAGTTATATCTATGAAATAGGATCATGGGGGAACTTTCAACAATGTCATTTTTGTTTAACTGTATATATAATAAACCTACATTACTTGTAAAACAAGGCTATATTAAAAAATTTTTAAAAATCACTACTAGAGACAACACAGTCTATTGTGTATTTATTTCCTTATAAACTTTGCTCTTTCACTTTGAAAAAATACATTGTAACAGCAAATGGATTATCTTTAAAACTGGTAAAACTAGGGCTGGGAAGGTGGCTCAGTGGTAGAGTGCTTGCCTTGCATGCATGAAGCCCTAGGTTCAATTCTCCAGCACCACATAAGCAGAAAAAGCCAAAAGTGGCACTGTGGCTCAAGTGGTAGAGTGCTAGCCTTGAGCTTAAGAGCTGAAGGACAGGGCTGGGAAGGTGAGTCAGTGGTAGAGCGCTTGCCTTGCATGCCTGAGGCCCTGGGTTCAATTCCTCAGCACCACATAAGCAAAAAAGAAAAAAGCCAGAAGCGGCACTGTGGCTCAAGTGGTAGAGGGCTAGCCTTGAGCTGAAGAGCTGAGGGACAGCGCCCAGGCCTAGAGTTCAGGCCCCACGTCCGGACCACCCTCCCCCCCAAAAAAGAGCTGAGGGACAGTGCTCAGGCCCAGAGCTGAAGCCCCACAATGGACAAAAACAACAAAATACAACCAACCAACCAACCAGCAAAACTAGCTTACCGATCTTATAGCCTGCTACTTTTCAGAAGCCAGTGATAGGCTGAAAACCAAATGGGCCATTAACTGGTGACTCATGCCTATAATCCTAGCTACTCAAGAGGCTGAGAACTGAGGATCACAGTGTGAAACCAACCCAGGTTTTGAAATGCCCATGAAACTCTTATCCCCAATTAATCAGAAGAGATTTTCTTTCTTTCTTACTTTATTTTTTGGTTATGGGGCTTGAATTCTGTCTCTCAGCTATTTAGCTCAAGGCCAATTCTCTACCACTTGAGCCACAATGCCACTTCCGGTTTTCTGGTAGTTAACTAAAGAGTCTCATGGACTTTCCTGCCCAAGCTGGCAGGAGCAGCTAGGATTGATTATAGGTGGAAGCCACTAGAGCCCAGCTCAAAGATATTTTCTATAATTTGTAAAATATTTTTCAAAATACTAAAAATTATCCTAAAATTATCTCCAAATAAAGATTATTCCAGGGGCTGGGAATGTGGCTCAGTGATAGAGTGCTTGCCTAGCATGCATAAAACCCTGGGTTGGATTCCTCAGTACCACATACAAAGAAAAGGCCAGAAGCCTTGAGCAAAAGCAGCTCAGGTAGAGTGCTCAGGCTCTAAGGAGTTCAAGCCCCAGGACTGCTCCCCACCTTCCCCCCCCAAAAATTATCCAAAGTTGTGTCAAATACCTGACACTTTTAAACAAATCTGAAGCAAAACAAACAGGTCTCACCGTCTTCCAGGAGACCTGCTCCTCCTGTGCCTTGGCGGAGGCGGCATTCGTCTTGGTGGGGTTCTTCTTCGAGGGGAAGGCCGTCTCCTTGGACTGGGCCGCCTTCTAGGTGAGTATGATCTGCCAAAACAAAATTGGATCCTGAGTAAGTAAGGAGCTTACAATTACTCGACAGAGATATTTCCCCCACCGGCCATATTTGGAAAAATGAATGTTAAGAGTCAGAATCTTCCACTTACATAGAAAAAAAGTAAATTTTTTTTGGTGCCTGTCCTGGGGCTTGAACTCAGAGCCTGGGACTAGCTGAGCTTTTGCACCAAGGCACTTGGTAGTGCTCTACACCTCTTGATGCACAACTCCACTTCTTGCTTTTTGGTACTTAAGTGAACATAAGGGTCTCATGGACTTTCCTGCCCCTGGATGGTTTCAACAGGTTGATAATAAGATCTCAGCCTTCTGAGTAGCTAGGATTATAGGGTGCGAGCTACCAGCACCCAGTTTATGTAGAGATTTTATATGGTGCACAGTTTTCTTAAGTTCTCTATGTATATCCCAGTAATATTTGTATTAAAGATTTCCCACAAATTTGAAATTATGTATGTAATTATGGAAAACAGTAATACAATCAAAACCTAAATTGATCTTAAGGCTACAACCCACCTTGATCGGGATCTATGGCGCCTTCTTGGTCGAGTATGAGACGGGGAGCGAGAACGCGTACGGGATCTTGATTTGGAACGTGACCGAGATCTTTGTCGGGTCTTTTCCTTTTCCTTTTCTTTTTTGGAATTCTTTTCTGGAGTCGGTTCTTTAGGCTCTGGTATAGGTTCAGGCTTGGGAGCTTTCAGGATGTCACTGTCAAAAAAAAAGCTTATTTTTTTTCCTTCTCTTTTATTCAAAATGATGTGAAAATGTATGTCTCAAATTTTTCATTTTCAAAATCCACAAAAACTATCTCTGGTCTCAAAAGATATATATGTATCAGTAGAACCTACACAACTAGCAATAATATTTAACCACATACACTTCTCTCTCTTTTTTTTTTTGCTAGTCCTGGGCACTAGTCCCAGAGTTGCTTTTGGTCAAGGCTAACACTCTACCACTTGAGTCACAGTGCCACTTCCGGCCTTTTCTGTTTATGTGGTACTGAGGAATCCAACCCAGGGCTTCATGTATGCTAGGCAAGCACTCTACCACTAAGCCACATTCTTAGTCCATCCACACATACTTTAAAAAAAAATACAAAGTTGGCTGGGATATAGTTCAGTGGTAGAGTACTACCTGTCTACGATAAGGCCAAGGCCCTAGGTTTGATCCCTAGCACATCAAAGAAAAACACAGAAACAAGCAAAGAAACAACAACAAAAAAACCCCAAACACTGATAAACAAAGTTCTTTACAGTATTTTTTTTGGGGGGGGGGGGGGGGATATGTAAGATAAATCAAGCTATTTTGAAATATTATGACAATGGTCCCCTTTGGAGCTCTTTTCTTTTACTCTCCTATACAATTTCAACAAGACAAAAGAAACAAGTAATTGTAACTCAGATGTTGTATTTGCAAGCAATGTCTTATTAGTTATGGTTTTGTTGTAATAGGGGCTGAACCTAGAGCCTCCCACTGGCCAGTACAGCTAACAGTCAAATCTAAAAATTCTAATTATTTAGAAATTAATTTTTTATGTGCTTGCCTAGTAGATGTGGCCTCTTGTACTGAAGGTTCTTTTATTTTCACTGAAGGTTCTGGAAGCTCTGGACTTTTCTCCTTCTTTTCTGGAGCAGGGGAAGGACTCCGGCTCTTGGTTCTGTGACGGGGAGATCGAGAATGACTGCGCTTTCTCTCTCTCCTGACAGGGGAAGATCGTCTTCTAGGGGAAGGAGATCTGGATTTGCGTCTAGGATGAAAGCAATTTTTTCAGGAGTTTCAATGTGGACTGAAGGAGAGGGCCAAAAGGAGAAGTGAAGACTTATCATAATCTTTAAGATGCCCACTGCTGTATCTGAGAAATTCCACATGTAAACAAAATATCCTATCTCATCTTCTTGATAAGGAAAGGGCCAAGAGAAAATCAGAAGGGCAACAAATGACAGAAAACTTGTTCAAATGTGTCAATTAAAAGAAGGGAGGAAAACACTGACTTGGGATTCTATCCTTAGGTTCTTAATCATTCCCAGACCAACTTCATTCAAAGACCAACTTCTCAGAGAAAAAAGATGATGCTTAGATGTAAACAGTGATATTCTTTAAATCACCCCTAACAAAATACTGTGTTTTGATACAGACAGCTCACATCGGTTATTCAGGCAGAGCCCAAGAATGTCAGAAAAATAACATACAATGTTCTTCACAAGAGAAATGCCAGAATGGCATTAGATAGCTTTGGAAGAGGAAAAGCCCTCCTTGCTTCCTTTTAAATCACAATGTGCTGAACTTGAACTATTTTCTTCACAGTGAAGGAAAACAGCAGACTTAGAGTAGCAACAGTTACATCACTGTCACTATGATGGCTCATGCTTAACTCTTCAAAAGTACTGCTTCCAAAAGTAGGGTTTAGTATCAAATACACAGTGTATAAAAAACCAAAAAGGACAAAGAAAGTAATTCCTCCTCCCTTTACTAATTCCAGCTGACTTATAAAAGAAAAACCCTAAAAATGAAAAATCTAATGGATTTCTCACCTTTAACCACGAGTACAGTAGAAGCTGAGTCGTGGATTTAAAAATGTGAACCTAACATTAGTCTCATTGGAAGGAAGAAAACAAATAAATGATCTGAAGTTTGGGTTCAGTACAACCATCTAAGAAAAGCAGAACAGGGAACAAGGTAAGTTAAATGAGTGGCTACTGTACAGATTTCTAATAAAAAAGAAATGGAAAGAGAAAGAGTCAGAATACAATAAGAAATAACTAAATGTTATATTTACTAAAACAGTAAGTCTAGACTTACATTTAGGAATTTAAGAGCTGGATGAACTTACCAGATTTTAGATGACCATTGTATCAAATGATCAGTCTCAAACAAAACTTAAAAAAAATTTTTTGAGATGTAGTCTTGCCATGTTGCATAGGATGGCTTTGAACTCATTCTCCTTCAATTTCCCAGGTAGCTGGGATTACAAGCGTATGCTACCAAGTTCCACAACATACAGGATTTCTTTAGCCCAAGTCAAGATACAGATCAACCATGAAAACTGTACAATGAAGAAATTCCCTCAATCACACTACTAGACGTTTCTACCAGAGAATTCCTTAAGCCCTAAAGTACCTATAGAGTATTAGGTATGTGTCAACTGTACTATACCTTCTTGGGCTTCGAGACCTCTCCCTTTTTTCTCTGCTGCTCTCTTTTTCCTCTTTATCCCTCTTATCTTTGTCTTCATCTTGCTTTTTCATCGATGCCAATTTTTCCTGTTCAATCTGCAAGGTTTTCAAAGTATACAGTTAAAACACAATTTTCCCCCCTAGTCTTGGGGCTTGAACTCAAGGCCTGGACACTGTCCCCAAGCTTCTCTTGCTCAAGGCCACAACGTCACTTCTGGCTTTTTCTGCTTATGTGGTACTGAGGAGTCAAACCCAGAGCTTCATGCATGCTAGGCAAGCACTCTATCACTAGGCCACATTCCCAGACAAAAAACAATTTTAAAGACTACCATATAGCAAAAAACAATTGTTTTTGTTAGTTTCATAATTCTTTTTTTTAATTTTTATTTATTTTTTATTGTGAAAATACTGTACAGAGGGGTTACAATTACATGGGCAAGATAATGAGTACATTTCTTATCAAGCACTGTAGCCTCCTCCTTTGTTTCCCAATCCCATCCTTTCCCTGCCCCCCCACCCAATCCTCCCCGTCCCCCAAAAAACAATGTTTTAACCGAGTTCATTAGCTTCAGTTTTTGAACAAAACTGTCCTTTATTTGTCTATCTTAAAGACACACATTAAGATAGGTGGGCACTTGTGGCTCACACTTGTAATTACTAGGTACTCAGCATACAGAAATGAAGATTGCAGTTCAAAGCCAAACTGGGCAGGAAAATCTGTGATACTTTTTTTTTTTTTTTTTTTGGGGGGGGGGGGGGGGAGGGTCCGGTCGTGGGGCCTGAACTCTGGGCCTGGGTGCTGTCCCTCAGCTCTTCAGCTCAAGACTAGCGATCTACCACTTGAGCCACAGTGCCACTTCCGGCTTTTTTCTTTTTGCTTATGTGGTGCTGAGGAATCGAACCGAGGGCCTCAGGCATGCAAGGCAAGCGCTCTACCACTGAGCCACCTTCCCAGCCCCCCCCCCCTTTTTTTTGTCAGTTGTGGGGCTTGAATTCTGGGCCTGGGTGCTGTGCTTCAGCTCTTTAGCACAAGGCAAGTGCTCTACCACTTGAGTCACAGCGCCACTTCTGGCTTTTCTAGTGGTTTATTGGAGGTAAGAGTCTCATGGACTTTCCTGTCTGGGATAGCTTTGAACCATGTCCTCAGATCTCAGCCTCCTGAGTAGCTAGGATTATATGCTTGAGCCACCGGTGCCCGGCTCTTGGGAAATTGCCTTTTTTTTTGGTCAGCTGTGGATCTTGAACTCTGGGCTTGGGTGCTGTCCCTCAGCTATTCAGCTCAAGCCAGTGCTCTACCACTTGAGCCACAGCACCACTTCCGGCCCTTTGTTTATGTGGTACCGAGGAATGGAAGCCAGGACCTCATGCATGCAAGGCAAGCACTCTACCACTGAGCCACCTTCCCAGGCCCTGTGAGACTCATATCCTAAATTAACACCAAAAAGTCAAAAGTGGATCTGTGGCTCAAGTGGTAGAGTGCCAGGCTTAAGCAGAACCTGAGGGACAGAGCTTAGGTCCTAAGTTCAATCCCTATTACTGGCATTAAAGCAAATAAAATATCCCACAAAACAACAACAAAACAAAAACAAGAAAAAGCCAAATAAAATACTTGATGAAAATTAATCTCTAGGGCTGGGAATGTGACTCAGCGGTAGTGTTTGCCTAACATGCACCAAGTCCTAGGTTCAATTCTTCAGTACCACATAAACAAGAAATAAAAGAAATAGAAGTAAAGAAAAAGAGAATTAACCTTTCACAGCTGATTTAAAAAAAAAAAAATAGGTAGCTGTTTTCCAGTTTATTTACAAAAACCACTTTATATCACCTTATTCTCTTTATGATTTTCCAGCTATTGTCTGTGAAAGAACTTGTGTTTACTTTTATACAGTTAAGAATTTAAAAACCATCTATCAAACTACTGGACACTGGGAAAAGGACACTTCATGTATTTATTATTTATTTATTTTTTGTCCAGTTGTGGGGCCTGAACTCTGGGCCTGGGCGCTGTCCCTCAGCTCTTCAGCTCAAGGTTAGCACTCTACCACTTGAGCCACAACGCCACTTCTGGCTTTTTTCTTTTTGCTTATGTGGTGCTGAGGAATCAAACCCAGGGCCTCATGCATGCAAAGCAAGCACTCTACCACTAAGCCACCTTCCCAGCCCCAAAAAGAACACTTTAAATGCAATGTTTAATCTACAGTGAGAAGCAGGGACCCACAACTGAATGTGCAAATATAAATACCATCCTAGCAAATCTCCATCTTAGGGGAAGCAGGTAAAACTTAATGATATCTCACAGTGATTACCATTTTTTTTTCTCAAATCAGCCTTATAAAAAGGGGAAAAAGGCTTTGCTCTGGTAACTCACACTTG